GCGCAGTTCCTTGGAACAGGACGGTTGTCACTCCGAAGACAAGAAACGACGGATTTCCGAGTCGAGGTCTACAGCCGCAAGTGGTGAACATGTTGAAGGAGATGGTGCGGTTGCGGTGGATGCATCATGTCTTGAAGTTGCGAAGACTGGAGATGAAGCATGTGTGGGTGCACCGTGTTGTGAGCGCGTGGACATGGAGCCGGAACAACCTGGTATTCGGATGTTTCGCGCCACTGCTTCAACCTTCGATGATTGGCTGCATCGTGGATTCTTCCTACAAGATTTGAATTTTCACAGTTATGTCGCGTATATTGAAATCGTTCCTCGCCAACAGGGTAAGTTGGGCGATTGTTTCCTCTTTGATGAGCATTATCTGAAAGCAAAAAACCTACTGGCAGCGGTTGGCTCCTCGTATGGCCGTGCCACGCGTGGTAGGCGCAGCTTGCAGTCGCACGGACGTAGGGAATGGTGAAGAAAACGCTCGCTACAAGTTGACCCTGTTTGGATTGATGCGTTGTCCCGGAGTGGGTGCCTGTGCTGACCCTGTGAGTTTGGCTGCAGCCTATGTGTGTAGCCAGCAGACTCAGGATATTCGATTCTCTCCTGCTTGGCGTCTTCGACGCGCGGAAGTGGAAGTTTTGGCCACTGAAGCTGATCGGAAAATTCGCATAGCGAAGAAGTTACCCACACTGGCAGATACCACGACGTTTCGCTGTCTGGAAGGTAAAGGTTTCACTTGGTGTCACATTTTGGTTTCCCAAGCTCTGTACCATGGACATAACAAACATGTCTGCGTCGGAACGCAAAATTTCCAGAAGCTTGTAGTCTGTATTTCTGCTTATTTGGCACCAGTCGCGGATACATTCGCGGCGGAACAGTTACATCTGGCTGAGTTTGTTGCGCATAGAACACGGGACATGGTGTTCCGCTTGGACATGCATACAGAAGCTCGAAACACTGCCATTCAGATAGCCAAGGACAAGACGACCGCGAGTGTCGAAGATGATACCGCATCTGTTCGTTCGGATGATCAACAGATCATGGTCGAGATCGAAATGTCGGTGGTGAACCCGACGCTGTCGAAGATGACCGAGTGGGTGAAGCGAACGTGGAGCGACCCATGGCAGGAGGCATTGAACTCATGACGCTCCTGCCGCAGGACTGCTATGTCTCAAACTCTTATTCTTTTTTACCTCTTCGGGTTTGTTGGTTGCTATGTTATGATGTCTTGTCTGTGTCCATGGCTTGATCGATATATTATAAGCGTCCAATGGTTCCTCTGTCGTGAATAAATTGCGTATAGTTTCATGTAGACACTGATGCGTATACATCAATATATGTACAGAGAGAGAGGTCATGAGACATGAGATGCACATGACGTGGTCTTCAGAAGGAACAGCATGACAATGGTATATGTTACCCACATCGCTTATTCATCTGTAGGATCCAGATGCCGTGCGAGCACATCTGCTGCATGTCTCAGAGTTGGAATCCGCAAAGCAGCGTGGCACCCGGACTTCGGATGCAGTGCGCTTCATGTTGGAAGTGGAGAAAGCATTGAACACAAAAGTGGCACTTTGCCATGAACACTTTCCCGTGGAGGACTCTGGAGGATGGACGCCACAAGCGTCCGTTGAGCTTTTGTTGTCTGCTCAGCAACAACGTGTGGAGTTCTATCGCAAAATGGATTCAGCAGATGACGCAGCGGAGGAGGCGACCGTTGCGGTTGCACACGCAGAAGAAGAAGCGGTTGTGCGCTTGGTGGCGGCGGATCTGCGACTGCGCGGTCCGGCGGCGGTGGCGAAAGTGTTGGCCGACAGAGCCACTTTGAACCGCGATCAACTTGGCTTCGTCGCCATTGTTGCAAAAATTCTGCAAGATGCCTTTGAATCACTTCCGCCAAGTGGCGATGGTATGCTCGCCAAGGATCGTGTTCTGTTGCGATGTCTGCTGGTTGGAGGCGGTGGATGTGGGAAGACTCGGATCATCAACATGGTTTTAAGACCGTTGTTTGAAGCAGTCTTTGGTGATGGTTCCATGCAAGCGCAGGCGCCTTCGAACAAAGCCGCTCGTCAGATTCATGGCCGAACCATGCACAGCGCAAACAAGCTGCGCAAAGATTCATCTTTGCGGACCGTGCATTTGCGTGTTTCCGCAGAGACACGGAAGGCTTTGGAATGCAACACTGTCCCGCTGGCTGCCATCGTCATCGATGATTTCTCTCAATGCATTGGTCAGATGCTGCATGCGGATGCGCTGCGGAAGTCTTATGGTCGGCAAAGGGCCCTGGGGCTGGAGCTTCATCGTTATGCGGAATTGGACGAGAGCTGGGGGCGTATGCCGGTGGTCGTCATTTCTGGGGATGAACTGCAATTACCTCCTGTTCCTTTTTTCGCATTCCTTGCTTGCCAGTGTGGATGGAACCAGCGATGAACATAAAGCCGGCGTGCATCTCTTCGGTCAATTCCGTTATGTGTACCGCCTGCAGACGGCCATGCGTTTCCAGGATCCAGTTTTGGAATGTATCCTGAGGAAAATGCGAACTCCGGGTGGTGCGTTGTTGACGCAGAGCGAATGGCAGGCGTTGGTGAATACCAACATCAGTGGATCCGGCGACAGCGCTCGCTTGTCCGGCACTGAGCATTTTTTCCAAGCTTGCTACACTTGGTCTGTGGTTAGCATGGCCTATACCATTCGCAGTTTTGAATCAGCAAAAGCAGCGGGCAAGACCTTGTATGCCACTCGTGCTGTTGACATGATCCAAAATCTGCAGGCCGACAAAGCTGCTGCTATCGCCCGGGCTGTGGTTGCGCACCCAAACATGAACGAGACTTCCTCACTATGGTCTCTATCACGTTGGTATGGAAGTGCGCTTCACTCAGACAGTCGCTGCTCCTCATGTGGTGGTAGATACAATTGGAATCATTCGGGGTTTTGCGTTTGCTTCGGAGGATCGGAGTCGCACTGATTTGCATGCATCTTTCGTCGTTTTGCGACGCTTTCCGGAAGCTATTTATGTGGAGCTGCAAGATGTGCCGCAGAAATTTCTGCCCGATGAAGCCTGTCTTGAACATACACCGCACATGGACGCCGAGTGTGCTGCATGCTTGCGGATGCGTGGCGTGTTTTTTGGTGCGACCATTTACGAATCAACAAGGTTGGTCGCTGAAAGTGACGATCCCTGGATCCCTTGCTACTGGTACAGAAGAAGAGATCTCTGTCAAGATTCGTAGGACGCAGATTCCGTTGGTGACTGTGAAAGCCAGTACTTTGCATGTGTTGCAAGGTACAACGACAGATCCTGGTTTGATCTTTCATTGGCGCTTCCCTCGTCGACTCCAAGCAGACATGAGGTGGTTGGCTGCATATGTGGCCTTGTCACGTGTGCGCTCCTTGGATCGTCTGCGATCTGTCGGTCTCGACAATAAGATTCGTGCCATCTTGGAACAAGGACCTCCAAATACTTTGCCTGCCAGATTCCATGTTTTGTTCTCGGACAAAGAATCCGAGACACAAACCTTCGCAAAGGAATGTCTCAGACTTCTTCGATGGTGACCCTCATGTCACCAGATCACCTCCAGTACCTGAAGCAAAGAGAGGAAAAGTAATCAAAAGAAATACTTCGCTTCGGTGTCGCCTTGGCTACAGTGGTTTCTTGGCTTCTACTCTACCTTTACTAGCTACAGGTAGTAGCTGTCATGAGAGCATTTGTGACTCTAGCTTTGTTACTTCTCTGACCTTCTTGTCTACTGAGATCGAGGTCTGCAACCTTTTCTGCATCGGGTTCATGTCCTTTTGATGGAGTTCGACTCGGATGTTGGTTTTGTGGCTCAATTTCTAATGCATCGCATAGGGACGCTGTGTTCTATGCATGGCTTGAACCTGTGTGAGTCCCACAAGTGTTGACTCTTATGACGGTCAAAGTCGAGAAACCGGGCGGAGGTGAAGATAGGCGTCGCTCTCCTTTGTCAGAACTGCAGGCCGCCGCGCGACACGGTCGGTTTGTGGTCCAAGTAAAGTTTCAAAAGGTGGAAGAGTACACATATACCCGGCAAGGCGCGCCGACCAAGGGAAAGCGGTTGCACGTGCTGTTTGCTAGCGCGGAAGAAGGTGCATATGTGTCTGGTCGCATGGTCATGTGGCAACAGAAGTCTGGCGAGTTGGAAGCTGCGGCTGCGCGCTTCCAGGTGGGTTTGCACTTCGAAATGAAATCTGTCGTCTTTCTCCAGAAAGAGGTAGCCGAATATATTCACACTCCGTTGAAAGTGGTTCTGGATCTGCGACAGACTCACTTCGATTCGGTTCTACAGGGACAATTTCCCAACTTTTGCCTGGGCCCACCGACACGTCTGAAAGACATTCTGGAGTTAACAGACGATCGACAACGCTTCGATATCACGAGTCTCGTGCGGCTGCGCGGAGACCCGCGTACGGTAACCACCCGGCAGGGTCAACGTGTGGCGCAGGACATCGTGCTTCGAGACGAGTCTTGTGTGCAAGACGGACATCGGGCAGAGATCACCACGTCCATTTTCGCGGAATCACAAGCGAAACTGGAAGAATTTATTGCTTTGGTGAATCTGGAAAAGCCGTTGACTTTCTTTGGCTTCGATGTGCAAGTCCGTGGTGCTGAAATCAAGGTCACTCCATCTTTTCAAGACTTTCGCTGTGAAGTGGCTGTCTCCGTCCGTGCGGCTGCGCAGGACGAAAGACAGAACGAGATTTGGAAGGAAGCAGGGCAGACGCTGACGCATGAATGGCAGCCCTCGGTTTCTACGGACTACACAAGCAAAGAAGGCTTTTTATCCTTTTGTGCTTTGCTGGATGCGTATAGCCAACAAGACGCAGCTGCCTTGCATGGCAAGTTGTTTCAACTCAACAACATCCATGTGCCTTACCCACCGGAGCACCACACGGTGGAACGACGTGTGTTTTGGTCCACACGGATTCGAGATTGTAGCGGCAGCTTGGAAGTCGCCATTCGACAAAAGGCAGCCTGCCAGCTCGCCAAAATCGATACAGCTGATCACGAGAATGCCGTCATGGAGGTCAATAGTCAGCATGGCGGTGACCTGTTATCGTGGCCTTTGCTTGCCAGTGTCAAGATCTTGGTCACACTTCGTGGTGACAATGACTCTGGTGCCACACAGGCGACTGACAGCGTCTCCACGACGAGTTCCTCGAAGCGGATGCGCTTCTTAGTTGTGGAAGCTTCGGAGCAGGACCTGCAAGCGACGCCCACAAAGGCTGTGCTGGCCGTTGTTCATGCCTTGAGCCATGTGCCGTGCAGCGGAGACGCGTTTGCGGCTGCATTGCTGTCGCAATTGACCAAGAATAGTTTTGGCGTTTTTCAAGTGCAGCCAGAGGTTGTGGTAGCGCACCTGGAGACTGGTGCCTTGGAACGCCACGCTAAACGTCGCCGGGTTACTTGTGCGAAGGCCTTGGTGATGCTTCTTTCGAAAGAACGGACGCAGCAAGAAGCGTTGGGCTCAGACAGTTATGGCATTCGGTTGGTGACCAAGAATGTTCGCGACGCTTTGGCTCCAGATGCAGGCCCTGTGACTGTGGTGGCATATTGTCAGCGACATGCTTTGAAGGATTTCATTTTGGATCCTCCACGGACTGGAACCAAAACCCAATACGCTCTGGCATTGATCTCCGATCTGAGCACTACATCAAGTGAAACCACATATGTGGTGGAACAATTGCAGTTGCTGCAAGAAGGCGATGCAGAAGCTGCAATGATATGTCTGCGGCGTTTGGAGCAACTGACTGCCTTGATCGCTTCTCGTCAACAGACGTCGGATCCCCTACCAGCCTGGACGGACACATTGGCGGAGAGTGCCTCCCGCATCGCTTGTCCACGCATCTCGGCCTATCCCGCAGGGGACACATGGGAGAGTCCAGTGAAGGCGTCCCAGGAGGTACCGTTCACGGCAGCTGACACCCCGGGCACAGGCTAGCTCATAGTTGTCTCCCTTCCGCTGTTGCTGCGACTGCGCGCAACATGGTTCTCTTACTACAGAATCTTTTTTTGACTTTCCATGAGGCATCTGTTGCTCATGTGTCATTCTGCATGAACCTGTGTTACTCTGCGGCTGCGCGAGGCCGATGACTTTCTTCTCCTACCTTGAAAGATTGCCGGCCACGCCGCTGCGCGCTGGATATCGTGCACCTTGGATTGACGCATGCAACTGAAAGAAAATATGT